TGTGAAAGTGCTTATAAAGCACCTGTCAACGATAGGGATGTAACATCATCATATATATTCCTTAAAATAGATTTAAAAAAGGGAAATAGTTGTTTAGTAGACAGTAACAGTGGAAATAAAAATCCATAGGATTCAGTCACCAACTAAATAACTAAATAGGGAGAAAGAAGACTCAAATATCACTCAAAAGTTTCAAGCTTGGGTAACTATGACAATCATACTGCCAAGAATAGATAAAAAGACAATGTGGGAAGAAAAATTTAGTTTGTGAGAGAGACAAAAATGAATTCCACTTTCTTCTTGAGACTGAGGTGCAATTAGACAGTCTGGTGGAAATGGAGGATGGGACCTGAGGAGAAAGGTCGGACTTCACAGACATTGGAGTCGTCCACAATGAGGCAGAATTTGAAACCATGGGAACAGACAGGATCACTGGCAGAGAAAATGAAGAGAGAAAAGGGAAAAGGTCAGAAAAATCTTGGTGAATAACTATAATTAGGAGATAGTAAGAAGATGATGTTGCCATTAAAGGAAAAAGAGAGGGAGTAATTAATTACAGGCATACAAGAAACAAGGGATAATCACAGGGCAGCAGAGAAGTAAAGTTTCCAAAGGAAAGTAGTGGTCAACATTGTTAACTGCTAAAGAAATGTCAATGATTCCAAAATACTCTTGAAAAATTTCAGTGATAGTAGGAACATAATGCTCACATGCACTTATCTGGATCCCTTTGTGTATACTCTTTAAGAAGTGTGGAAGAGAAGGAAAATATAGGTTGGCAGGTTGGAGGTGATGGATAAGTTAGTGCTGGGACAGGAGTCAGTGGATAGGTAGTTGAGAACATTTGTGAACTAAGAGGAAGGAACCTAGAGAGAGAGAAGAGAATGAGGAGCACTGATGGTGAAGGGGAAAACAGGAAGAAGTGCAGAGGCTGGAGGTCACAATAAGGATAAAAACCGTGTTCAACAGGAGAGATGAAAATGGGAAGAGACAATGAAGATGGTCAGAGAACATGAGATGTTGGAAGAAATGAGTTTCAAGACATCTAGTGGACAACAGAAGTAAAGATAAAGATACATGGAGTTGAGAACATTGATCCCCAGCAAGCTCACAAAAGCCATTAGGAAAGACAGAGGAGAGAAGATGCAGATGATCACTGAAATTCACTGAGGATGGCAGCAAAGAAGTCTGGAAATCAGAGACCAACAGATGGAGATGGGACACAGTGATACGGCACTGGCCAAATGGTTAAAAATGAACTGGTAAAACTTTAGCAGGAAGAGTACAGCTGAGGAAACTGGAGAGCCAATAAAGCATGGGATGAGGGGATGTAGGGTTGGGATTAAGGGAGATGTTCATTTTATAAAGAGATATATGTAAGCTAAAATCTGCTAAGGAAGTACCAAGGAAGAGGCAAGGAGAGAGAGGATAGGACAGAATCCTGTTCCAGGGATCCACCATAACAGAACACAATCACACTGCGACGGATGACACATGTACATCCCTTTTTCATACTGGGCACAGGTCCATGATACCCCGCAAACTGTGGACAGTTCAAACAAAAGTGCAGCATACAAGGAGCACTTACAAGCCCATGTAACTGCACAGTAATTCATACATTTGCAGATCAGAATGTGAGTTATTAAAGATGGATATAGGACACCAAAAGTGACTGAGGTGGGGGCATGAGAACAGGAAAAGCCAGTGTTCCCTAAGGTAAGCACACCAGTTTCTTGATAATTTAGTTCCTGACAGTTAAAAGTTAAAGGAAACATATAGGGAGATAAGAGGAAAACAAAAGGAAACAGCCAGTTTGCTGCTAAGTAAAACCAAACCAGATTATAGAAGGCCACATGGCCTCTGAAATTCACAAGGCCTTTCTGAGACTTCCTTTACACAGAAACACAAATGGCTTGTCTGAGATTCCAGAGACTCCTGGTCGGTCAGACTAAAGACAGGTTATAGAAAGCCCATTGAAAACAACTGACTTGAAGAAGAAGAAAGGAGGTTAAAAAAAAAAAAAGAAAGAAAGAAACCATGAAAAGATGAAGTTATCAAAAGCATCAGTCTCCTATCTCTGCATATCTTATCCAAGAGCTTAACCTGCCTTACCCATGGGCAACAAACAGCAGAAAATAAGTGTGTGTGACCCATAAATAAGTGTGAATAATATTTAAATAAGGGAACAAACTATTTCAGTGGTCATGTAACATTCAGTGGCCACATCAATTACATTTATGTCAACTCTTTCTTCTTGATCTTGGAATAATTGCTTTACATTTAACACCAGGCAAGAGATCTCTTCATCCATAGAAATGGGTGTGGAAGCCTTATTGAGCAATTAACCCAGGCAAATAAACACCTTCATGAAGCAGCAAGATTAGCACCAAGAAATATAGGTGGTAAAATATAAGCATCTTAGAAGAGAAAATGAGGACAATAAAGGGTTGTACTGTGGGAAAAAAAAAAAAAAAAAGAGTAAGAGTGAAAACTCAGTAAAAAGGACACATGATGAATATGATGATGTTACATCCCTATCGTTGACAGGTGCTTTATAAGCACTTTCACAGGACCTATTGTATATTATGTTATTTCACATTCACTTAATCTTATGAAATTCAGAGGACATCTATTATTGTTTCTAGTTAACAAATGAAAAAGGTGAGGCTTAGAAAGGTGAAACCACTTGTCCATGGGCAAACAGCCAGTAAATGATAGAGATTGGACTTGAACCTAGATTTTCTGATTCCAGGTACAGTGGCCTGCCTAGTCCTCTAAAATACCCAAATATCTGGACTGACTGAGCAATTTCTTGCCTATCAGCAGAAAACTAGAAGGAATGACTTCTAAATAATACCCCCAAATCCTGGGACTCCATGATTCCATTGTGTTCACTATCCCACAAATGCCCTCTTGACAAAGAGCAAGCTCATCCAATCACTCTGTGTGTGTGTGTGTGTGTGTGTGCGCGCGCGCACGCACGTGTGTTTGTATACCTGTATGCCAGGGGCAGGTAGGGAGCTTCAGAACCAATACTTAGGGCATCAAGAGTAAAGAATGAATATCAGACTAGAGCACTGAAACCTGCCTCTCTGCATAGAACTATTCTTACCTTCTATCAAATTCCTCTTTGAATAAAATATTGACAATTTCATGATGTTCAGGAGCCTGCTGCTGACTTCCAAAAGCTCTGGCGCCATACCATGCTGTGACTGTAACTGCCCTCCAGTGAGCCATCAAAAGCCCGGCTAGAACATTTTGAATACAGCAGTTTGCTTCCCATCAAAACACTAAATTGCAATATTTTATATTTATCTCTATTTAAATTTTAGTGATGCTGCATAAATGTTAACATGGCCTAATGCTAATACAATCATAGAAAAGTCTTAATAACATCACATATTGGCACAGCCCCTGGGTGAGTTATGGCCTCCTAAGCAGGCCGAATGCATGCTTCTTGTCACTTAGTTAGTCCCCTTTAACTAACATGTGACATCAAGATGCTACACAGTTTCCCGCAAGAAATGCCTTTCCATAAGCAAGGGACATCTAGGATCATTTGTTCATATTGAAAGTGGAAAGAAAGTGCTTGGGATTGCAGAAAAGATTTCCAAAAACGGTTTGGGGAGAGAGGTTAATAATGTTTGATTTAGTTCTTTTATGGCTTGAAAAACAAAAAGTGAGCCTCAGTAAGTTTTCAAGCCCCTAAAGCCTTATTAGGATAAGACCTTGAACTTCTTCAGGGCTGAAATCATAGCTACCAATGACAAACTCACAGATTCTCCACCTTTCCAGTGGATGCATAGGCAGAGATTTCCCTGGGCTTCCAGGGAGACTGTCTGGCTCTGGTAGGTGAGACCAGCGGAGGTAGAGTGCCTTGGAGGCCACAGCCTTGACTGTCAACAACACAACCACATGACAACCAGGGCTTAAAGATCAAGGCAGGTTAATGATAAAGGAAACAAAGGCCTGCAGTGCTCTCAGCCTCTCCTCATGGAACAATTATGGCCTTCCCAGCTTAGCCCCTCAATTTGCTAAGAAAAGATACTGAAGCCTTTCAGAAAGAGAGGGCATTAGACTGAAATTCTAATTAAATAAAGATAAGCACAGATGAAAGGCAAAGGGAATCTTTTCAAAATAAAACCTCCAACGGTAAAAATGTTCAGAATAGACTTTCTCCTACAACATCACAATCCCTGCATCCAAGCAAGACAACCCCTAATAGCCACCACCCATGCCCTTGCAGCAAGAATCAGAACATCGGTTCCTGTTTTAGAGGAACAAATGGTCCTAGGAGCAGATTTTCAAAAGCAGAAGGAACTACAGCTCCATTGAACCAACTGCAGTTTGAAGACATCTGGACTTTCTTAGGATGAGTATAATGATGTAGTGCCTACATATCCTTCTGCATCAACTCTTTGGAGACGCTGTCTCCCCATTCCTCTTGCCTGATCAGTCTTCTAGCACAAGTCAGACTAACTGAAATTTAAATAACTCCCAATCCAGAAAGCATGATAACATGACTGCATGTTGATTGGTTCCAGGCAACTAATGGAAGACACATTCCCCTCAAAAGGCCCTCCTTGGTCAGGTTCATCATTTATTCATCAATAGATGTATCTTTACTGCCCAACGGATCAACTCTTGGAATTCATTCACCTCCTTCTCAATTATCTATGGTTAGTCTAACTTTTTATTTGCTTTGAATAAAACAGAGAATATGACCTAAAATATGCTTTCAAATGTCCATACATATAAGATGGGAGGAACAAAGAATCACAGATAATGACAACACAAGTCAAAATTCTTATCTACCTGGAGTAAGGGCAGAATCAAATTCTTACTCTAGTTTCATTGGGATTACATTGAAATGTGGATAGGGATGTGCATGAACTCAAGTGTAACCTTCTACCAAGTCAATCAGGTCAAGAGCAAAGCTAGACTTTACCTGAAGGGCCCAAACGATTCTGGCCAATGGGTTGTCCATCCACGCTGCTTACCTGGAAAAGGCAGCCCCCAGCACAAATGCTGCATACTCCTTTACCAGGGGCTCTGTGCTGTTCAGCCCATTGATCACGACTTGAAGGCCACCAAAGGAAAACAGGTCCTGTGCATTATCCATCTGCAACAAAGGTACCGCTTAGTAAATATAGTACAGCCATCAAGGAAAGAAGAGTTCTTCTTATGGCTTTTCTTTTGGTGACTATTCAAAACCAAACTAAAACGTCAAGTAAAAAGCAACAGTGGCTTTTCTGACTAGCTAGGAAAGGATTTGTAAAAACTAAGTTTTTAAGTAATCTTAAATTGGAGAATTCCTAATTCATCTAACATGATTTATGAGTACCTGCATGGGAACCGGCAGAAATGGCACCTAGCTATTGCTTATGCCAAACATGTCCTGGAAAATTCTAATACCATAATGAGTCATAAAGCTTACTCCTAATGTACAAGCTGTTAACATAAAGATGTGGCGTCATCAGCATTACTAAATACTGCCATGCTTCCTGTTGATGTCCTGCCCCACTGGGGGCAGTGGAGGCAGCAGACATTTAAAGAAAAACCTTATTTTTAATTAGAAGTCAGGAATACAAAAGGAACCTGTTACGGGTTGGGGGGCTAGAAGAGTGCTAGGAGAGGAATAACAATAGTACCCTTCTCTTCCCTCTTCCTCGCTACATACAGAATAAGGTTGACTGAATCTTAGAACATTCATGATAAAATCTGCAGAGAAGTCTCTCTCAAACGGTTTAGTCTAGGCTTGTGCTATTGGCTAGTGGCTATTATTGGACAGTGCAGAACATTTCCATCATCACATAAAGTTCTATCAGACGGCACTGGTGTAGCCTATCATTTAAAGTCCATAGCCCCAAGTCCGGACTCTCTCTTTTATTCTATAGGGGATCTCATCCCCCAAGTTTCATTAGTATCCTGGAACAAGAAAACTCAACTTCCTCAGAAAGGTCACTGGATCCTGTTATCCCTATGCAGTAGCTACAGTCTCCCTTGAAAATATCTTTGTTGCAACAAAGGCTGCCTCTTGCCTACCTGCTGATCCCCCTCTACAAATCATCAGGAAGCTAGAGCCCAACAACAAGGTGACTGCTACCCATCCTTTTTTCTCCAGACACCACCGAGCCCTTTCCTACCTGACTGTGTCCTTCCAAACTGGAAGAGGGCTCTAACAGAAAAACTGAGTTTGAAGGACTATATTTGACTCTACCTATGTTTTTGGGTTGGCCTAGCCTGTTTATGTCACTTAGAAGGTCATTCTTATACATTCTGATATAATCTCCTCAAGAGGAGAGGTTTTTGTCCATCTGTCTGTCTGTCTGTTGTCTGTCTGTCCACTGTTGTAGGTCCAGTGACTAGAATAGTGCTAAGCATATAATCAGACGCTCAATAAATAATCATCAAATCAGTGAATGAATTTGATCACATAAAAATGTTACTGAAATAAACTCCACTGTAAGTAAAAAAGGCAATCTAGGGTATCTGTGCCAACAAAATGGATGGGTCCCTGATACCACAGACCTGAAGGGATGGCCAATCCAGGGTCGTGAAATAAGAATGGAGTCTGTTCTGCCATCAGGGCCCCAAACCAGGGCTGGGGTTTTTCTGCCCCAATCTGTCCTTATGAAAAGGGATGATTATTAGGCTATAGCCCAGCTTAACTAGGGAGACTCAGGGAGGGGTGCTTTGCTGACACAAGCACAAATAGTACTTCCTCACATACTCTGATTTTAAAATCTAAGAATTCACTACCTCTCCTTTGTCCCTCCTTCCTCTAGGTTTTCTGGATACAAAACCATGGCTCAGAGTCCTGTCATTCCATGCTTGGGACAGTTATTTACCAAAGCTGGTATGAGTTCCTAGCAGAGCAGCTGCCACTCTGACAGGCCCAGAGCAAAGCAGCCCAGAGTCACAGAGGTTCTGTTCTAGATTCACTTTATCTTTATTACTACAAAGATAATTCATGGTGCTATAAATGCTGACATTTACATAAGCACTTCAGCCTTTTCAAGATGTTTTCTCATTTATTATTTCACTGGAGATGAGGAAGAAAAGAGTCATTCTTCCCACTGCATACACAGAAGATCAAGCTCCAAAATCTGGGCCCTGCCCAGTGTCACACATGAGAAAGCATGAGCAGGGCCCTGGTCAGCAGCTTCCTATCTGGGTCTGTAGCCAGAACTTTTCTCAGGCTGCCTCTAGGATAGGGTGGGACATGTGGAGAAGAGCTCAAGGTAGAAGGCGGGAGTGCACAAGGAAGGGGGCAGCAGGGAACTGTGCCAACACTCAAGAAAAAAGAGAACCAGAGCACTGACAAGACAATGAGAGAACAAGAAACAGAGAAAGGGAGAAGTGATGGTAAATAATTGAGGAGTCATATGAGAGAAGGCAAACACACTGCCCTAGGGTGGATGGGGCGGACAGAGGCCACTCCTCATAAATAACTCTCAAACTGTTTTCCACAAACACGGTTTTGCTTTTCACAAATCCTGTTTAATAATTCAAATATGGCTGTGAGAAATCCTTGGGCAGATCCAGTTTGGGTCCTTGAAGCCCATGGATCCTCAAAACTTCTAATCAGTGAGTCTAGAACACAAGAGGACTGGTGAAGTTTCTGGCAAAAAAAGTGCTATCTTCCTCAAAGGTAGCACCACATCACCCCAATTCCCCATCACAACTGGGACTCGAGGTCAAACTGCATCTTCTTTAATCTCCCTGTGAAATCACAACCGTGTGGAAGCCTGACATACCAACCTAAACCAAGGACTTTATATTTCCAATCAAAGGGTAAAAAACCCACAAAATTTATGACTCTTCTGCCAACAGAGCAAGTTTGGCCTCCACCAGGGAACTGGTTCTTGGGCTGACCTCAGGCTGAGTTTGGTCATGTCCAAGAAACTCTTTACCAGGCCCAGCAAAAAGTCATGAAAGCAGAATGGGATGTCACCCTAAAGATGACACTGCCAGGCGACTAGCAGGCTTGACGAGAAAAAAAAATTTGTTGAGGCCCTGCTAGCCTCCTGTGTATTCACTCTCTCTAGTCATTTTGGCCTTTTATGCTGCAACTAAAGGAAGAGCCTATAGAAATCTGATACCTAAAGATCCATCCAAGCATGTTAAGATGAGAAAAAATAAAAGCTGTCAACATCAGAGGAACTGGCCAATAACCCCTAAGATCCTTAATCCTTTAAATATCTATAGCGGAAAAGCTGTTGGAATTTTTGTTTTTCGCCTTGGAGAGAAAGACTGGAAAGAGGAAAGACAACCCAGGTCTGTTTTTTCTCTAAGAGGATCACAGACCTGCTATTTGAGGCCTGAGAAAGAGTTATGAGCAGAGGGAGAAGATGAAGAGGCCGCCCCATAATTCCTGCAGATACAGTACACATTCTCTCTCACCACCACAAAGGCTGGCAAAATCCTAAAGAAAGAATGTCTTTTAGCCTAGTTTACAGAGAACAAGGACGCTGTTGTACATGGGAGGACGTTGAAGATCTATGTCTTGATGAGGATCTCAAACAAGCCTTTGATTTTGATTACACAGCCTTCCTGGACCACCATCGTCCTAGTCTGGATTATTGCAATAACCTCCTATCTGGTTTCCCTGCTTCGACCCATGCCTCCCACCTCCAGTCGAATTCTCAACACAGCAGCCAGAGGGATCCTTTAAAAGTAAGTCAGATCATGCTGTTGTTCTGCTCAGCATCCTCCGATAATGTCCAATTTCATTTTTTTCCATGGCCTACAAGATGCTCCATGATCTTCCTTCAGTTATCTCTCTGAGCTTCATCTACTCTCTCTTCTCTGACCTCCAGCTACACTCACGTCCCTGTGGTTCCTCAAACACACTAGACATGCTCCCACCTTAGGGCTTTGGTACTTACTGTTTCTCCTGCCTGAGATGCTCATTCACAACACTGCCAATCCTTACCCTGCTCTACTTTTTATTTTCTACAGTATTTATCACCTTCAAATATATTTTTTATAATTTACTCAGTAGTTATGTTTATTGTCTATCTGCCTCTGCTATTTTGTTCACAGATGTATCTTAAGTACCCAGAACAGTGCCTGGGACTTAACAGGCATGCAATAAATTAATTTATTAATAAACAAATGGCTTCTCTTGGCTGTTTATCTTTAGATCCACCTATTCCTTTTTGAGCTTCATTCAAATAGCACCAGTATCCTGTGAGAGGCAGAGTGGCCAAAAGGTTAAGAGCAAAGAGTTTAGTACAGGAGGCAACACTCCAAATGAAAAAGAGGTTGGCTCTGGCCTCTAAGAATGTATTTTACAGGGGCTGGCCATATGGCACAGTGGTTAAGTTTGGGCACTCTGCTCTAGTGGCCTGGATTTGCGGGTTTGGATCCCAGGCACAGACCTACACCACTCATCAGTCATGCTGTGGCAGCGACCCACATATAAAGTGGAGGAAGACTGGCACAGATGTTAGCTTAGGGCTAGTCTTCCTCAAGCAAAAAAAGAGGAAGATTGGCAACAGATGTTAGCTCAGGGCTAATCTTCCTCAGCAAAAAAAAAAAAAAATGCATTTTTACTACAATAGATCTGGGCCTAGATTAAAAATACTGAATGCCCTGGGAGAGAAGTAAAGATGTTGATGCTATTTTCTTAGAGCTTGGGGCAGTGGGGTTTACTTTTGGAGCTGTTAGTTAAAAAGTCAGAGTTACGGACCAGGAAATACAATACCTGATGAACATAATATTCAAGATCAAAGAGTGCAGCAATCTTCTCTTCCAGACTGGAGCTGGAACTATTGAACTTGTTGATCAGCCGTACCATGATCTGCATGTCACTCTCAATGACAACATTCAGCTCCTCAAAGTCCTTCTTCAGCTCCTCAATAGGGCGAAAGAGCCGTTTAACCTCGGCCTGCCTTGCCTAAGGAGAGCAGCAAAGAGGTGATTAATCAAATTGATTGGCAACATCTCCCCAAGACTCCTGTTGTCTACCATGGATGCCCATCCTCAGAGAACTGCTGCTCTAGGACTCAAAATCTTCTTTAATCTATATTAAAAATTCTGAATCTTTCTAGGATGCCTAGAGAAGCAAGCCCTCAGAGTCTACCCCGATAGCCCTCTGGCCCAAAAAGACACTCAAGATTTACCAAGGTTTGTTTACCCCAGTCCAACTTTCAATGTTCAGGAAGAAGCGAAAGTCTTCTTGTTGCAACCACTGAGGTCAGGAGACACAATGTAAGCTCATCTTCAATCCCTACCCTCACATGAAAAGGCTGAGATCTAAGGAGGAGTAATCTACAGCCTGGTTCTCTATCTCCTACAGTCATAGACTATCTTGGCATTGCCCTGTCCAATCCAATAGCACTGTAGGGAAACCCGGATGTAGGAAACTGTGGGTAAAGAGCTGTCAGAGTGGGAGCAATTTGCTGATGAAAATTAAATCACTGTCATTACTGTCAATCTAACTACAGGTGTACAATTTGTTCAACTGTTTGAAGTGGCTAAATTACTGTATGTACTATACTCAAGGCTCAAATAATTTTCTCTCAATCCCTCCCCACCCCACACACATATAAAGATTTTTAAAATGAAGATATGTTGGAGGTGAATAAAAGACTTTAATTCGCTATTTTATACATGACACTCCCTGTTTTCTTCCCAATTTTAGAGGATAGTGCTTATAAAGAGAGTCTGAAAGGTCACAGTGGTTCGTGTCTCTACCTTCCAAGAAAAATTAAAAGGCAGGAATATTTATAAAAAGCAGGATGATGAACAGCTGTCAGCTCCAAATTGCTCATCTATTACCTATGGGTTTTCGCCCCAGTTACAAGCACTCCCTAGAAACCCCAACCAAAGAAATGAATCAGACTCTTTCAAAAAAGACCAAGCTCCTAGCAGAGCAATCACATTTATGGGATGCCATATCCTGCTTCTTTGGGCTAAAACAACAGCGAAATGCTCTCCGTCCACCCAGCTAAAGGACTCTGCATGGCTGCCAAAGGCCAGGCAAAGAGGTCTGAGAAAGGTGAGTCATGGCCTAGAGCTGTGGGATGAGAGGCAAGTGAACAGGATAAGAAAATAGTCATCCTTGCCTCACAAAAATGCTATGTGCCTGGCCCTCAGGAAGGGCTTTTTTTTAAAAAAAGAAAAAAAAATTAAAAAAACAAAAAACCACACACTTTATTTTGCAATAATTATAAACTCATAGGAAATTACAAAAGTAGTACGGAGAGTACCATGTACCCTTCATTCAGTTTCCCCCAATGGTAACACCTTGCATAAGGATAGTACAATATCAAAACCAAGAAAATGACCTAGATACAATACTGCTAACTAGACCACAGACCTTATTCAGATTTCACCACCTTTTACATGTACACATTTGCATGTTTGTGTGTATCATTCTATACAATTTTATCTCATGTATTGATTCATGCAATCACCAGAACACTCAAGCTACAGAACTGTTCCATCACCACCAAACAATTCCACTGTGCTCCTTTATAGCTGTACCTCATACTCCCACTCTCTCCCTCCCATCTCCATGCCTGGCAAACACTAATTTGTTCTCTATCTCTGTAGTTCTGGCATTTGGAGAATGTTATATAGATGGAATCACATAGTCTGTAACCTTTTGAGATAGGCTTTTTTTGCTAAACATAATGCACTTGAGATCTACCCAAGTTACTGCACATATCAATGGTTCATTTGTTTTTGTTTTTTTTAAAGATTGGCACCTGAGCTAACATCTGTTGCCAATCTTCTTGTTTTTTTTTTTTCTTCTTCTCCCCAAAACCCACAGTACATAGTTGTATATTCTAGTTGTAGGTCCTTCTGGTTGTGCTATGTAGGATGCTGTCTCAGCATGGCTTGAGGAGCGGTGCCATGTCCATGCCCAGGATCAGAACCAGTGAAACCCTGGACTGCCGAAGCAGAGCGTGCGAACTTAATCACTTGGCCACAGGGCCAGCCCCTGGTTCATTTGTTTTTAATGCTGAATAGTATTCCATTGTATAGATGTACAGTTGGTTTAACCATTCACCTGTTGAAGAACATTTGAATTGCTTCCACGTTTTGACTATTACGAATAAAACTGCATGAACATTTATATAAACATTTTGTATAAACTTAGGTTCTTATTTCTCTAGGATAAATGCTCTAGAGTGCAATTGCTGGGTCGTACGATAAGCATATGTTTGGTTTTATAAGACACTGCCAAATTATTTTTCAGCATGGCTGTACCACTTTACATTCCCACCAACAAAGTATGAAGGATTCAGTTTCTCCACATCCTCAGTAGTATTTAATACTATCACCATTTTTATTTTAGGTACTCTACAGATGTATAGTGATATCTCATTGTGGATTTAATTTGCATTTCTCTAACAGCTAATGACATTAAACATCTTTTCATATGCTTATTTGCCATCTACCTATCCTCTTTGGTGAAATGTCTGTTAGTATCCTTTGCCCATTTTATAAATAGGTTGTTGGTCTTTACTGTTGAGTTTTGAGAGATTTTTATATGTTGTAGATACAAGTCTTTTATCAGATATAGACAGTTCTTGCTTTGCACAGATCTGATGTGCACCAATTTCAATCCCACAGTTTAAGCAACACCAGTCTCCCAACACGATTCAAACTCTAGTTGTCACAGTATGTTAACTGTAATTACATAAAGTACCAACTTTGCTTCTAGCTCTTCAGTGCACAAATCACTACATAAATAACACAAATGCCCATCATGCTCAGTGGCTGATCACATCACTTCTTTCAAAGTCTGTCAGTGACTGGTCATTATGCATCCATTATTCAGTTCATACACAGATGTCAAGTGTGTGGTTGTATGGCTTACCTCATCCCCCAATGACAAACCCTTGTAACATTTCATAAAAATGGATCATCAAAAGAGAGAATTGGCCAAGAAGGATGAAAGTGCAACAAAGAAATAAAAAGTGGTAACTCTGGCAGTGAAATTCATATTGAACATATATGGAGTTACAAATGATGTCATAATTTTTGCTTCAACTATCAAACATAATTTTAAAAATTCAAGAGAAGGATACTCAATATATTATGTTTTCCCCTACTTTTATTCATTTCTTGTTCTTTTTTCCTGATGTCCCAGGTTTCTTTCTGTTATTATTTCCTTTCTATCTGGAGAATATTCTTTAATCATTCATTTAGGTAGGTCTGCTGGTGACAAATCTTAATTTCCCTTTGTGTGAGCATGTCTTGATTTCCCTTTCACTCCAGAAGGATACTTTCATTGGCTACAGAATTCTGAATGAATGGTTTGGTTTTTTTCAGCATTTGAAAAATGTTATGCCACAGCCTTCTGGACTCTGTGGTTGCAGATGAAAAATCCACTGTTATTCAATCATTGTTCCCTATAGATATTGTGTTGTGTCTTTCTAGCTGCTTTCAAGATTTTTTTCCGTCTTTAGTTTTCAGAAGGCTGACTGTTATGTGTCATGGTGTTGATGTCTTTGGGTTTATTCTATTTAAAAGTCATTCAGCTTTATGGATCTATGGGTTTATGCCTTTCAGCATATTTGGGAATTTTCCCATCTTTATTTCTTTGATTATTTTTTCAGCCCCATATTCTTTCTCCTCTCCTTCTGAGACTCCGATGACATAAATGTTAGATCTTTTGTTATAGTCCCACAGGTCCCTAAGTCTCTGTTCAATTGTTTTCAATCTATTTTCTGTTACTCAGGTTAAGGAATTTTTATCTGTCTCCAAGTTCACTGGTTCTTTTCTCTCTCATCTTTATTCTGCTTTGAGCCTATCCAGTGACTTTTTAAAAATTTTAGCTGTATTTTTCAGTTCTGAAATTCCATTTGGTTCTTTTTTATATTTTCTTTTTCTTTGCTGAGGTTGTCACTTGTTTCAAGAGTGTTCACAATTGCTTGTTGAAGCATTTTTATGATAGCTGCTTTAAAATCCTTGTGAGATAATTCCAACTTCTGAGTCATCTCACTGATGGCATCTGTTGTCTTTCCCAATCCAAGTTTTGATTTTCCTGGTTCTTGGTATGATGAGTGATTTTTTTTATTGTATCCTGGACATTTTGGGTATAAGTCATAAGAATGAATTCTATCAAATCTTCCTTTTCAGTAGGTAGTCACACTATTTAGGTTTAATGTCCTGGTTCTGGCCTTCTTGAGTGGTTGTGACTTCAAGACAATTTAGTTTTCAGAGCCTTTGCAGTGTTATTTTGGTCTGCTTCCTTTGTGTGCTACCAGAGGCTAATCCAAATCTTGAGCAGCATTCCACACTGTAGTTCAGTTCTCAGATCTTCTGCTGTGTTACTAGTCACTTTCTCATGTGGGTCACTAGGAGTATGCCCAGGACTTCATTTGCAAAAACCCTTTTTCCAGCTCCCTTCTCTCCAAATTCCTACCACCACTCTCCAGTTAGGAGGAGGAAGAGCAACACCTGCCACTGCTGGATGCTGGACACTGGGAGTGGAAGTCCTTCTTTGGCCTCTACTAAGATCACCCTTGTGGGGGAATTGAAGCACTGCCTCATTGCTGCTAGTCTGGGAGTGGAAGTTCAGGCTTCTCACTTACTCCCACAGACACGGCCCCAGAGTGGGGAGCAGAATGCTGCCTCATACTGCCTCGCTGCCACCAGGTAGAGAGAGGGTGGAAGTACAGTCTCTCCATTCACCCTCCAACCCCCACCTCACCTAGAAGAAGTGAAAAACCACCTTGATGCTGCCAGGCAAGGAACAGACATTCAGGTTCTCTTCTCGGCCTCTGCTGACACCACCCCAACAAGAGAAGCAGCCTGCTACTCCCATGTGGAGGGTGGAAAACCAGTCTCCACATCTGTTCTCTGCTGATGTCACACCAGTGGATGAAGTAGAGAAGTCTCCTACCACTGCACAGAGTATAGAAATTCAGGCTCTGCTCAGCTCTCACTGACATCACCTTGGTCAAAGTAGTAGAGCACTCCCTCATACCACTTCATTGCCATGGGGGAGGCGGGGGTGGTGTAAGTTTAGGCTCCCAACTAGGCTTAGGCTGATGACCACTCTGGTAGATAAGTGAGAGTGCAACTTAGTACCACCAAGTGGGAGGTGGAAATCCAAGTTTCCCATGCAACTCCTACTGGCACTAAGGGTGAGGGTGGGGAGATTTCCCTAGTCTTCCCCTAAAGCAGGACAGGTATTGTCAAAGAGCTTTTTGTCCTCTTAGGCTGCCCTTTTCCCAGTCCTTTCTCTAAAAAGAGCAGGCCTTTTTTAGGGCTTTTTTCTATCTGTACCTATTGGCATTTTCAAGATGTAGGCTTCTCCAGTGCCCACTCTGGGACATATAGAGGACAAAAAGAAAGCCCAAGGAACTCCCTGCCATGTCATTCCTCAAGTTCCAAGTCCCTAGCCAGTCTATCTTCTTCTTCCCACCTTTTACAGTCTTCTTCTATTTGCTTTCAGTATTATGTCCAGGGCTTTTAGCTGTCCTTAGCAGAAAGAATAGGGAGAAATCAGTCTACTTTATTTTGTCCAGAATCAAAAGTTTAAGGTAGTATTTTAAAATGGAACAATTTATAGGATACAGGTGAACAACAGCAGACATGATAAAACATAAAACCTCAAGCAATTAGTATGGTAATAGAGAGATAAAGGGATCAATTCAACAATAACAGCCCAAATCGGTTCGGCAAGACAGAGCTTTTCCACAAAGCCAGGAACTCTGGGAAGGGTTGATTCTCTAAAATCCAAGATACCAACGAATGCAATGGCGTTGACGCCCTTCTCCAGAAAAAAATCAGGTCCCAAAAAACATTCACTTAATTGACAGAATATGACACAATATCTGACAGTATTGTCCTTATAAATAGAAAAGAACCATCCTATACTTGCAAGCCACCACACGACCTGGGTTTAAAGATTGATAAACAAAAAGTATGAGGGCATCTGCAGCCAGGAGCTTGAGACATGCAAGCAACTCCCCAACCCTCTGCAAGTCCATTTATTTGCCAGTCCAAGTGCATGGGTGGTGAGCCAAATCAGTCCAGACAGGCTCCAAATAAAAGTGGGAGAAAGACCTCAGGACTCAGCACCTCAGTGAAGGAGCTGACAACCTAAGCTCCACAGAAGTAAAGAAATAGTGTGGTAGCCATATCACAGAAGTGGTAGCTGACTCAAATCAGCTGGTAAAGGAATCTTGTATTTGGGTACGGTAATGGGACCTCCCCTTAAAAGGGGAGACTTGTTTTTTTCGTGAGGAAGATTCACCCCGAGCTAACATCTGTGCCAATCTTCCTCTATTTTGTATGTGGGATGCCTCCACAGCATGGCTGACAAGAGGAGCAGGTCTGCACCTGGGATCCAAACCTGCCAACCCAGGCCACTGAAGTAGAGCGGGCAGAACTTTAACCACTTGGCCATCGGGCTGGCCAAGAGGATTATTTTTAATTACAAAAGAAAGCAGCAACTGAAAACTTAATCTCTTGCTTTTATACTTAAAAAATATTTTCATAATATTCATATTTTTCTACACTAACTGAATTATGGGAGAAGAATACCATTAAAGAGAACAAAGAGAAGAGTCGTGGGTGCAGTGGGCCTTCTATCCACAGAGAAGAACACGGAACAGGGACTGAATTTTATGTTTCTTCAGCCCCACATGGTGGTGGGTGATGAGCCCATGCTGAGGGGATGATGTGTAGGAAGGAGCCCACCAATCTCTGCTCCAGATACCTAGGCATGCACTGCTCTCCTCTGCCAGCACCACTTTCCCTAGGTTAGTGCTTTTGCTTTTCCTCATCCCCCTCAGTTAACACACCTGTGGTGAGATGGAATTTTATTCATCACCTTCCTTCACCCTCTGCTGCTGCCACTGCCATCCTGCTATTCACCTACTCATACCACACATACTCTCCATGCCAGGAGATGTGACTTTGCTAAGATGAGCAAAGACATGGAGACTTGGCCTCATATTAACACATCCTAATTAGGTTCTCCCCACACACACAAAAAAAGGTTCATTTGTCTCAGAAATACTTAACTCTGAAGGATCTAAGGGACCTAAGGCTTCGTCCACTAGCATACAAGCTGTCAAGAACCTGATGCTGCCCCTCCAAGATACTACTAGAATTCCGGGGCAAGGTCAGAGTGGTAGACAAAGCAAAGGGGACTGTGAGGAGGAGAGGAGGGAAGGAGAACTTAGAAAGGTTTCAAAGGTGGCCATCAGAGGAGGATCTTGATTTCAAGGATAGGATTCACTAGAAATGTAAAAAGTGATTTGTGACATTCTCTGGCTATCACAAGAGTTCATGATCCATCTAAGAGTAAGATTGTTTTTTGGTATAGGCCTGTATCTACGAGCCCTCCCAGACATTAGGGGTATAGCTAAGGGGTTGCCATTCTGCCTCTTTTTCCTTCTCATTCCCTTAGCTTGTAGACAAATTTAGAGCTGGAGGAAACTTCAGTCATCCTCTTGTCCCACCCTAAGTTATACATTTAAGGAACCTGAGCCTGGGAAAAGAGAATATATTTGCTACATATTCAAAGGACAAGGACAAGGATCCAGGCTTCTTCCTTCCCAGCCCAGCCCCTCTGTCCTTTAAGCTTGTGTCTAATCCAAGTGTAAGTGAGGAGACCTGGGTTTTAATCTCTATTATCCTCACTCATGGCTGTCTCTACTTTGTGTCTTAATTTCTGTAAACATGTAATGGGAAATTGGATCTTAACCTAAATGATGAGAGAAATGCTCCCAGAATTGGTTTTTTTTTAAAATAATCTATAAAGGGTTACTTATTTGGCATTAACAGCTCTTTAAATTATTTTAAAACGTTATTGTTATTATTATCCCACATGAATTGCAAAAGCTTCAGGAAAAAGTGATTCCCTTCAAGGCTGTCCTGCAGTTTTATACTAACTCCTTGGAAAGAACATCACACACCTTGTCTTCCTTTGAAGTCTCCGTCTCTACCCCTTCCTTGAATTTTGCCAGTGCACTCTTGAGGTCCTGAGACGTGTAGGTGTTGGTATTGATATTCAGCCTGTCCAAAGAGAAGTTGAGAGTCAGGAGGGAGGCACCATCTTTCCCAAGAAAGAATACTCTCTGGGTGGCTGGCACTCCAAGGCAAACTAAACCAGGCCAGCTCTAACTCAGAGCACACTATCCTACCTTTGTCTTCGGTCAGCCAGAAGTCCAACAGGGTGATCCCTTGAAACTAGAGGAGGAAAGACACAGCTGAAGATGAAGTCATTTCATGAAACAGGAGGAAATGGCATGGGGCAGACAGAGGCCCACCACAAACAGAGAGCTCTCAGCTAGAAACAAGTAAGGAATGTCTGTGCAATGCTGCTCTCTCAACATGTGCCAGGGCAAGACCTCCTGGAAGGCAGTGGGCATGGATAGAGAGAATAACATGAACCCTATTTATATTCTTCTAGGAAAGGGACCAACAGGGACCTGAGCCCCTAAGCATGTGCCTGATTTGATTTGACAAGGCAGCTTGTCTTCACAAAAACAGATTGGATAAATTCACACCTTTAAGATCAACCCCTGGGCACAGAGTAGATGCAAGAGGTATGTGTCAACCTGACAAAGGAATGGGTTTGAGACACCAAAGACTAGAATCAAGGCCAACCATCTTCCACAGCCAGCCTTCAAGGAGGGGGGAAAGGAACGAACATTGATATAATCTTAAGGACCTGGCAAAGACCAGAGTTGTCTCCTCACAAAGACCCCTGGAGCTCATTCAAGCCAGAACCATTCATCTTGACTAGACAGAAGGCATTCATGGGGTTGGGGGCAAGTTTTGCCACCAGTACTTATTTTGGCTCAGTGAACAGAGGTAAGAACAAGAATGATACAGACAAAGGGAAGTGTGGAATGTGGGCTGTGCTTGATAAGACTGTCCAGCTGCAGAGGAATTAAGGATAACCCAGGAGATATATCAGAGGTGGGGGAGGAAGGGGCTCCTGGACTGCTGTGCTCCAGGTGAGATGAAAGTATCAGTCTTATAGTTCAAGATCCTAGCAGGCCTCAACTCTCATGAAAGTGACGTGCTCTCAGGGCTTTGCTCATTCAGTCTTTTATTCATCCTAGAGACCCCTTAGGACCCTAAGAAAAAACACCTGTCTTCTCTAAACCTCACTCCTCCTAAACTAATTAATAATAGCTAATCACTTCCATTTATTGAGTACTTAACCATGTATCAAGCACTGTGTTAATCCTTTAGAAGTAATATTTCATTCAAATAATCCTCTCTCCCAGCAGAGCATCATCCGCTGCCAGGTGCACGAGGATGCCACTGCCCTGCCCCTTACCCCTAAGAGGGAGCTAAGTATTTAGAGTCATAGCTTGAACAGATTATTTCCTTCCTCTAAGACTTGGTCAGGACTAATCCTATCATGTCTCATATATCCCTGTTGACTGCCTTAAGTCCCACTCTCCCAGGCCATCCATCATCACCCACTCTCAGCTCCAACTACACATACACAAGTATGTACATGTGTGCCTGAAAGCACGCACATGCACACACACACATAACAATCTTCAGCTGGTATTCTCACTTCATTCTTCACTGAGAAAAACATATGTTATCCTCAAGAACTCCCTCATCTTCCTATCATCAGCTCTATACACCAACCTGCACCTAAATCTATACTCTCTGCTTTCCCTTCTATTATAATGGATGACAGTGTCCCTGCTCCTATCAAACTTATGCTCCAGATTCCACTTGCCTTTTCAAAAGCTTTAACTCCCATAATTATACCACTCCCTCCTGCCTGCATTATCAGTTTCTCCCCTTGATTGGATTCCATCAGCATATCAACACTCCTTTGACCCCATGGTCTCTAATTATCATGTCATTTCCCTATTTCCATTCAGAGTAAAACTTTATGAACACATTGTCTTCACTCTCTATCCACCTTCTTAACTGCTATTTACATTGCCATTTGCTCTAATCTTGATTCTGTTCCCACAACTCTACCAAAACTGCTCATTGAAATTACCAATAATTGATGGCCAAATCCAATGGACTCTTTACTAATGTCATGTTCCTCAACCACTCAGCAGCATTTACACAGTTCACCCACCCCTCCTTGAAACACTCTCCTTTCCTGGCTTCTTGTTAGCACACTCTTTTAGTTCTTCCCCTTCCTCACTCCTCTAATTCTTTTGTTGGTTCTTCATCTGCTATCTGAACTCTATATGTTGGAATGCCTCAGAGTTCAATCCTGGACAATCTTCTCTATCTCTACACTCTCCCCTAGTTCTTTTTAAATATCTATAAAGCAATGATGCCCAAATTTACATCTTTGGCCCAAACCTCTCCCGTGTACCAGCAAGACTCTTACACAACTACCTAACTGATATATCTTAGATCTTGAATGTTTACCAGTCACCTGAAACTTATTACATAGGGTTGATGGTTCTTCCCATAAATGTGTCCCTCTCCCAATCTTTTCTATGGTACAAAAAATGGTACCTCCAAGCACCTAGATGCACAAATCCCAACATGAAGCTTTGTCCTGAATCCCTCCCCCTAACCACCTTCCTTCAACCTCTACATCTAAATCATAAGCAAGGCCTGTTGGCACAACCTCCAGATTCAATCTCCAAATTCATCCACTCCCCATTATGTCTTGTCTAACTACTGAAATGACATCCTAACTGTCTCTGTGCTGCTTCTTTTGTCCACCTTCAATCTATTCTCCATACACACAGCAACTAGAGTGATCTTGCTAAACTACATTACATTAAATCACTCTCCCACCCAGAATCCTCCAATGGCTTTCCATCATAATTCTAGTTAAATGAATAACACTCAACATGCTTCTCAAAACTCCACATGATCTGGCCCCTCATACCTCTCCAATCTCATTTTCTATTAGTCTTCTTCCTTCTCTTACTCTCTAGTCATCCTGATCATTTTTCTGTTTCTTGAACTTGACAAAGCCTTTCCTTGACAAAGGGACTCTTCTTGTTCCCTCTCCGTGAAATGCTCTAACTCTAAACCTATAAAACTAACCCTTTGCTTGACTAAATCCCTCTCATTCTTCAGGTCTCAGTTCAAATATCATCTCGATGAGGCCTTCCCAAACCATCCTGTCTAAAGTGGCCTCCCCCAGAGACTTATCACATTGTTTATTTCCTCCTTAGTATTTATTACAGTCTCTAATTACCTTACTTCTATGCTTATTTACCTGTTTTCCTGCCTGCCAGGTTCCATAAGGCCATCAACTTGTCTGTTTTGTTTACTACTGTAACCCCAATGCCTGGAATATAGCCACTCAATAGGTCTTTTGTGAAATGAATGAAAGGAGCAAGTAAAAAGTCCTATCCTTGGCCTACTCCCTTAACTACTATAGCATATTGTACCATGGTCAGTGCTCAACCCAACATGGGACAACCTGGATGTAGACTGTCCTTCATCCCTCCAAAAAAAAAAAGGATGATTCAAAGATGCTTGGTTGTTCCAAGGCAAAAAGAGAGATGTACTGTAGAGATGCAGACAAGGATATGGACTAAAATCAGTGGAGATGGAGGGCCTAATCCATAAATTAGCAAGAGGAAAACCTGCTGCTGGGAGCCAAGTGTATACTAAAGTCAGGCAGTGCCAGGAGAACCCTCTGGGACAAGTCAGAGTCAGGGGCCCTGTCCCAGGCTTTAGAGATCACAGGCGTCGTGGCTCTAGGTAGCAGTGTGGCCAGTCACACATCCAGCAGGACTAGTGGAATGGTTGCCATGGCTTAGGCTGAATGGACTATCCTCATCTCTCTAGCTAGCCAGTGACTCTTAACTCTGTGAGATCACCAAGTTCTGTGACAATCTGATGGAAAGCTATGGGTCTTTTCCCCCAAAATAAATAGTAGATAAGCAACACACTGTAACAATTCTGGAAATTAGCCTGCCCTTTGGCCTCTGTTCACATTCTAATGCTAAAGAGCCAGGAAGACACTGTGAAGTAGAATTAGAGAAGCACAGGATAAGGTCCACTCCAGGAAGAGGAAGTCACCAGCAAAGGCAGCCAGAAACTCACCGAGCTCCAGGCAGTGAACACCTGCAACAACTTGTCAATGTCTTTGGGCTTCTGTTCAGACAGGTTTGCCACTGGCTATAAATGCTGAGAAGGAAGAGGACATGTCCAGCATATCCTGGAGGCCACTCCAGGGCAGAGTCCTCTAAACATTCCAAAGGAGAAAAGTAAAGAGGCAAGAGTGGGGACGTATATTTCTCTGTTATGATGTGTCTGCTACAGACCACATGGATGACTCTGCTTTCTATTCTAAAAAGATATGAGCAACAGACAAAGCAATAAGTGTTCCTCCTGATGATTTATGGTCAGGTATTGGAGAAATAACTTCCCACAGTATTAAAACTAACAAATAAAAACTCAAAATTAATCAAGTTCTTAACTCAATATTCTTAAACCAAGAAAAAAACAGACTTTTTATTTAGAAAATAAGGCAGGGCTTAGATGTGAGAAAAGACTTCCTGAAGTACTTTGAGATACTGAAATATGTGTGTATATGTGTGCTGCAGATGGAGAGAGGTTGGCAGGAGCTACAACAATAAGACTTGATTTTTTCTTAGATGCTTGTGAGGAAGGAATCATCATACGACCTGGGTCACTCCAGATAAAGGCCTATCTGGAGAGATGGGGGAAGATAAAGATCCTTCTCAGCTTTGGGTGACTGTAAGGAGGACAAATATCTCCTTATCTTATCTATCACAATATAAAGTCAAATTTTCCAACAGTGAAAACTGCCCAAATATGAAAAGGCTGCTTTGTGGGGTTGTGAGTGCCACATGACTGAAGGTGCACATGGACAGGCTGAATGACCTCTTGCCTAGTGTTTTAAGAAAAAGACTTAGGCAAGAAATGGGTCTCTAAAGTCACTTTCTGCTTCATATCTAACTGCAAAATATTGTTAATAAAAATCCAAGGACTGAGTAACACTAACTGCACTCAATCCATGATTGATTCCCAATACTTATACGTATTAGAACAGGGGCAAGAAACTATCTGTAATGACCAGATAATACTTTAGGCTTTGTGAGCCTATAGTGATTATCCCAACTACTCAACTCTGCCAATGTAGCAAGAAAGCAGCCATAGAAAATACATAAATGAATCAGCATAGCTGTGTTCCAATAAAATTTTATTTATGGATACTGAAATCTGAATTTCACGTAATTCTCATAAGTCACGAAATATTATTCCTTTTTTGTTTTTTTCCAACCATTAAAAAATGTTAAAAGCAACTCAGCTTGTGTGCCATACAAAAACAGACAGTAGTCCCAGTATGGCCACAGGCCATAATTTGCTGGTCCCTGCATATGAAACTTCATGGCTGGTATTTATATTGACCTTCCAGACTGCACAGTTCCAGCAGCCCCTGCAATCCTGTTCCTCAACCTCCCTCTCCCTCATGCAGGAAACAGCAAGCAAAAGAAACTTGGAAATTCAAGACAAAGAACAGCAAACAGAGACTAGGAATTGTCCAAAATCAAATAATCTAAACTGGTTATTAAAAAATAAGGCAATCTCTTACCACTGGAAAACTTTTATACTACAAGAAACCCTGTTTTAATAAGGACTAACAAGAGGAAAAGTTAGTCTGAATTAAAGACTTTAAAATGCAATTTTATTGTTCACCAAGGAAGTATTACTGCAAAGCAGAAGGCCTAACAGGCCTGTTTTAATGAATAGATGACTCATCTGTAATCAGCACATTAATTGTTGGGATTCAAAGGGGTGCTCTTAAAGTACCAGGAAAAATAGCTTCATTTTTAAAGCAGGTTAAGCATTCCCCCTACAGCCTTTTTTAAAGTATCAATTTGCTCTGCAAACTATTTCTTTCCAAATACTGTAGAAGTAAACTTCCATAAAACCCTGACAGATTTATCACAAATTCTAGGCTATTAAATTTCAAACTTTTTTAAAAAGCCACATGAGTTTGAGTAAGAAACATTATATTGTCATTACATTCAGTACTACAAAAATCAATGTTGTCAGCTTCCCAGTCCCTAGGGTTAACACTGTACCTTTTGCCCTTTTTTGACCCTTTCAAATTATTTCGGAACTTGTCTTCATCTTGGAGTTTCACTTCTCTTGCCCCAGTCTGGAGATTCAGCCGCACATGGGATCCTGCAGGGACAGCCTGACCTAAAGCCAAGAAGAGACAAGGTTCGTGAGGTAGACAGTCCTTGGAGAGACACAGTGATGGAATGGTTGGCTAATAAGCCAACAAGACTTAATTAGTTCATGAAGACCAGACTCTGCTGTGTTCAGTTCCCTGCATCCATCCATCTCTCTCTCTAACACCCACACACCATTCACATATTCTCCTTTTGATAATCCATATTGAATAAGGGAATGAGGCAAGGTGAGAAAGGGTATCTGCAATCCAGAGACCAGTGTCTCCCAGTTAGAACCTACATATTTAAGCTATTCTGTTTTCTTTAAATTGAACTATAATAAGCCTTTTTATTATGTGCAGTAGGTGAATGGCAAATACCTACTCACCCTTCAGGACATGGCCATGTTACTGCCTCCTCCATGACACCCTTCCTGCCTCTCCTCTGACACTCCCATAGAACTCCAAACAGCTTGCCATTCCAGCAAGCTTACACTTCACCACTCTTATCTATTTAATCAGGCTCCTTCTATGATGCTCTCTCCTCCCTGAGCAAAGGGACTTTATCTCCTCTTTTTTTATTTCCCCAGCTCCTAGGCCAGAGCTTGACACACAAAATTTGTGGCATTTAAAAATGTTTTGAGACAGGAGAAGGAAGAAGGACAAGATTGGAAGGCAGGAGGATATAGCAAGCCAAGGAGGCAGAGACTGGAACCAAGAGAAACTAAAAACCTACACCCACCTATCTCAGAAAGCTAATCCACTAGCTGGGAAAATAAGTGTTGCAAATGGATGGGCTATCCATGCACATTGTATAAAATTACCCACAGGTAGTTAAAAAAGCAACTGCGCAAGATCACATATTACAAATGGAATGTTGTACTTATTTGTTCGTGCAACTGATATTTACCAAGCAACTTCTATACACCAGGCCACTGTGGTAGGTTCTAGGAATACAGAGGAATGTTAATGGCCACAGGGATAGAGAATTTCAGGGAAAGGGCTCTTCAGGAGACTGGAAGTCTAGAAGCAGAGATGCTGCTTTGACACTTGACTTTGACTCCACTTTCTCCTGTCAGGCGATAGCACCGCCTTGCTGATGCTTCCTGGCTGAATGCTAAGCAGGTCACCCTTGATTTTCCCTCTATTTTACCACCCCTCATATCCAATCTATTCTAAAACATGGAGATTCTTCCTGCTATATATCTCCTGAATTCATATCCTTCTCTCTGTTCTCCCCACTGCTGCTCTTGTTCAAACCATCATCATTTCTTTTCTGGACACTGCCATAGCCTTCCAACTGGCCTCCCCTATCTACTCCTACCTCCCAATCCAATTGTTCTTTACAATGAATGATTTATTTTTCCCCCAAAATACAAACCTGACTATGTCATTCCCCTGGTTTGCTTTTAATGGCTTCCTACTGTTCTTAGAATAAAGATGAAAGTCCTCACACTGGTCAATGAGGCCTGTTAGTATCTAGTCCCTGTCTACCTCTTCAAACTTGTCTACTCCTCGTTCCCCATGCTCTAGGCCACACTGGTCTTTTCCCATTCCATGAAAGAACCATGCTCCCTCCTACCATGGAGTCATTCCACCTGCAGTTCCCTTTGCCCAGAATCCTCTTTCTAACCCCAGCCTCCGTCTCCTCATCCTTCCAATCCCAGCTAAGAGTCACTTCCTCTAAGAAGCATCCTCTCTTTCCCAGACCAGATCCAGCTGTCCCCTAAAGGCTTTCACAGTACCATGAACCTTTTCTTTATAGCACTCACCACAATCTGCAGTTATATTTTAGTTTTTATTTATCTGGTTAATATAAATTCTCACCATTTTATCTTCAGGGCCTATCACATGGCCTCAATAATCATTTGTTGAGTGAAAAATTAGAAATGAAAGAGAGAAAATCCTAGCTGATCTAGAGGTGTATGGAAAGGCCAACAAGGATTTCCACTAGGGCAAGTAGATTCATAATAAATAGTAATCATGTTAGTAGTTATTTTTAGTAGTAACAGCACTAATACTAGTAATAATAAAAATAGCATTTTGAATTTTCAGACTTTTGATCAAAATTAGGAACAGAAAAGAAAAAAGTACATGATTTTATAAGTTTCAAAACATCACAGGTTATATCGTGCTAAGCTGGCCAAGGAAGAGACCAGGATGTTAATGTGAATCAATTTATTTTATTTGGGGAAAATTCCAAAATTACTCCCTTCACACAAGCCACCACAGGGGGCAAGAGCAACTACAATAGCATTAACTTAAAATGCAGGTTACACTCATTTAAAATACACAAAACCAGCCATGGCAGCAGCAGTGGCAAAGGCAGCAGAAACTATAGTATTTCAAATGTTTCCACCCCACTGGGAAAAAGGCCAAGTTAGAGAGAGTGATCTGACCTGCATCCTTCTAGGGCCTCTGTGAAGGGATCAGAACACTTGAGAGGAGCAGAGCAGAGGCAAAGAGTCACAAGATACATGCAGGTAAAGAGTTCGGGATTAGGGGGTGGAGGGCAAAGGGACAGGCAGAAAATAAAACAGGGATCCAGAAAGGCAAAGAGGCCTGCAGCCTACAGTGTCTGTTTGCCTACCACTGGCTTAGACTCAAGACTGGGGTCAGACCCATGCATGAGGAAACTCTGTCTATATTAAGTACAAGTTCTGTCCAAATTACACAAGGCCACATCGTATGAATTTTGACTCCTCTTGGGACTCTCTGTCACTGACTTCAATCACAGGCCAAGATACAGGTAACAACTCCTATATTTCCAAGGTGGGTGCAGGGAATCTGTGGTAGACTGCATTGTTGTCACCAATTTTCTTCCCCTTGCCTGTATCCACACCCTTTGCCATCTGACCTTGCAGTCCCTCTTACTAGTGATGGAGCATACTTTCCCACCCCTTGACTTTGGACCTGGCTTGTGACATACTTTGGCCAGTGGGATGTTAGCAAATTTGCCACAGAGGTTTGAAATGTACTTGTGTGTTGGCCTGTCTTTTGGAATTCTGCCATCACTCTGAGAAGACCATGCTCTGCTGGCATTCTGGTCCAAGGAGGATGAGAGACCCATGGAGCAGACCTGGACCCAAACTGTAGATTGGAACCAAGCCCAGGTGAGTCCAGCCATGGTCAGCCAAGTCTAGCTGATCTGCAGACACGTGAGTAAGAATAAAAGACTGGATTTCTTTTTTAACTTTTTACTTTGAACTACCTTTAAACTTACACAACAGTTGCAAAAATAGTGCAGAGAATTTCCATGTATCACATACACAGGCTTTCCCAATGTTAATATCTTACAGAGCCACAGACAATTATCAGAACCGGGAAATTAACAATACTATTAACCCAACTAAAAATCCTTTTCGGACCCTACCAGTGCTTCCACTAATGTCCTTTTTTCGTTCCAGGATACCACATGGCCTTTGGTTGTTATTTCTCCCTAGTCTCTGTAGTCTGCAGTAATTTCTCAGTCTTCCCTTGTGTTTCACGACTCTAACAGCTTTGAGGAATACTGAGCAGTTTTTCAGGACCGTCTGGCATCTTCTCATGGTTAAACTGAGGTCATACATCCTTGACAGAAGCACCACAGAAATGATATAGTGTTCTTCTCAGCACATCATATTACAAAGTTCATGATGTCAATATGTTACTGGTGGTACTGGCCTTGATCAACTAATAAAAGTAGTCTCTACTGAGCTGTTCTACTGTAGTAAACAAAAATCACAGCAACTACCAAGCTAAGGAAAATGGTTTGGCAGTTTCTCAAAAAACTAAACATGGAGTTGCCACATGAACCTAGTGATTCCACACCTAGGTATATACCCAAGAAAATCAAAAACATATATTTACACAAAAACTTGTACTTGAATGCTCATTGCAGCATTGTTTATAATAGCTAAAATGTGAAAACAACCCAGATGTCCATCAACTGATGCATGAACAAACAAAATGTGGTATATCCATACTGTGGAATACTACACGGATGAACTTTGAATATATTATGCTAAGTGAAAGAAGATGGCTACAAAAAGCTACATATCATGATTCCTCTACTATGAAATGTCCAGAATAGGCAAATCAACAGACATAGATTAGTGGTTGCCAGAGGCTAGGGGAAGGGAGGAATGGGGAGTGATTGCTAGTGGGTATTGGATTTCTTCTTGGGGTGATGAAAATGTTCTGGAATTAAATAGGGTGATGGTTGTACAATATTCTGCATATACTAAAAAACACTGAATTGTTAAAAAAAAATGGGAGAAATACTTTGAGATTATACATATCATCCCTCTTCTCCTCAAACGAAACCATTAGAGGAATCCGTCTACAACAATAACCACTGTGGTGAGGGTCGAATGGCAATTTTCTGTTTCCTTCCTTCCTTACACATTAACTGAAATTTCACTGCAAGCAAAACTGTCACTCCTCCACCTATTTAATTATTCATACCAGTATGGACTTGTGGATATTTTAGTCTATGACTTATAATCCAATACTATCATTATTTACTTTGTTACTCAAATTGTTTCAACTTTGGCAATTAAGAATTCCTTCAGGTTGCCTCTTGTGTTCCTTTAACAAGTCCCTTCCCCCCATCATTTTCTTTTTTCAAGTATTTCCTTACTTTCTGGTTCCATAAGATGTTCCAAGTTCATCTTGTATTTTCCTTCCCCAGTTCTGGAATCAACTACTTCTCAAGAAGCCCTAGTTTCTCTTATTAAAGAATCGTATTTAGAAACCAAGATCTGGGTGCTAGGTGTGCTCATTACTACTAGGGTATCCTTGCTTCTAGACCCTGTCAATGGATAGAGCTAAGAAATTTATTTATGTGTTTACATATATGCATATATACACATCTATATTTCTGTATCTATTTGTCTGTATGTCTATTAAAAACTAGCAGTTTAGGGGCCAGCCAGGTGGCACAGTGGTTAAGTTCACACGTTCCACTTCTTGGTGGTCTGGGGTTCGCCGGTTTGGATCCCGGGTGAAGACATGGCACCACTTGGCAAAAGCCATGCTGTGGTAGGCG